TAGTTTGGGTGCTTTTTGTCATCAGCATCATCGTGTTGATTGTAAGCAGTGCTCTAAATCGACAGACTATTCGTCCAAGTATTTACGGGACATAAATTACGACGAGACTCTGTGTCACAGCATCCAGTACAGATCTGGAGACAAACGGTACATGTTAATTGGACCCAGAATGAGTATTGGCTCAACTATAGTCCCTGGCAATAATGGAAATACTCTAGTGATCCCAGATCGCAGGAGGAGAGGTTCTGGAGAGGTAAGAATAGCAGATTCATTCTAATTACAATCAGCGTGATTGCGTGATACAAAATGGTGTGTTTTTGCTTACTTTACTTACATAGCGCAAAGTTTCGTTAAGTAGTAAACGTCACTTCGACTTTGCTATTTTTTATACAATATTGTGTGTTTTTACTTATGACTTCACAGAGCGAAGTCTCGTTTAGTAGCCTACTTTGTTTGATATTTTGATTATCTGATCATAATTGTAAGTAACCACAGTTTACAGGGTGCTGTCCACTGCGTTGGTGCTGAAATTTGATGCAAATCCTACAGAATATGATTGATTGTAAAATGCATAATTTCTGTGATAGAAAAATGCTTAAATTACTTTTTTTTTTTTTTTTTTACTTTTTATGAAAACATTTTAAGAAGCAGTAATGTTTGTCATCAAAAACACTGAATACAGGTACACTTTAATATTTTTCATGTTATGTTGTTAAGTTTACATCTTTTCAGTGTTTTTATGACTGACTTTTGTTTATTTCAAAATATTTTCAAGTGTTTTGAAACCACTTGGTGTCGGTGTTGCTCCAAGATTTGTTCAGAATATTGAGTCCTGCCCCTGATGATGACGCGAGTAGGGCTGTGTTGTTTTTTTCACACACACTGAAAAGGCTCGGGATGCATGGATTTGTACTGACGGTTCTTGAAAAGACCAATTTCAAATTTTCTTATTTTTTCATTATATACTTGCCATCCACACTCGAGTACGGCCTTTAATAATCGAGGATATATACATTTGATCCTAGAGAAACTGTTTGCTAATAGCGCGTGATGGAAGCTGGAGGACAAAGGCGCAGATGGGAGTACTACTGGATTGCTTCGTGTATTTCTTTTCTTCTTGGCATCGGACATCAAGTCTCAGCTCAGATAAGATATTCAGTTCCAGAAGAAGTGAAAGAAGGAACCGCTGTGGGAAATGTTGCTAAAGATTTGGGTCTTGAAGTAAGTAGTTTGGTGGACAGGCAGTTTCGAATCGTTTCTGGATCTAAGGAGGAGCTTTTTCAGATAAATCAGGAAAATGGCGTTTTGTACGTTCATAAGAAAATCGACAGAGAGTCTTTATGTGCTGGCAGCGGTGTTTGCATGGTAAATTTAAAAACCGTTATTGAAAATCCTTTGGAAATGCATTACGTAGAAGTAGAAATATCAGATATAAACGATCATTCTCCTAGTTTTCCTGAAAAAGAGCAGCGCTTGCGAATTTATGAAAATACGCTCCCTGGCGCTGATTATCAGTTACAGGCTGCCAAAGATCCTGATTCTGGAACGAATTCAATCCGGACCTATAAATTAAGTCCTAATGATCATTTTGAAATTCGAGTTAGAGAGAGTGATGAGGACAAAATACCATTTTTAGTACTGAAGAAGGCTGTTGATAGGGAGATTACAACCACATACAAGCTGCTTTTAACAGCAGTTGACGGAGGAAATCCTCCGAGATCTGGCACCCTTAACATTACCATTATCGTTCTAGATATCAATGATAATCGCCCTGTATTGAGTCGAGAGACACATTCTGTGACACTGTCGGAAAACTGTGTTATTGGCACTATTGTTGTTCGAGTAAATGCAACTGATATGGATGAGGGCACAAACAGTGATATTGAATACAGTTTTTCAACGTTAAATAGCAAAGTGCAAGAGGTTTTTGAGCTCGATCAGGTCACAGGTGAAATACGCGTAAAGGGGGAAGTGGATTTTGAAGATACAGAAGTTTATAAACTCGATATTCAAGCCTCAGATAAAGGGCATCCACCAATGTCTGCAAAGTCTAGAATTGTTATTAAAATTATTGATGTGAATGACAACCGGCCAGAGATTGAGATTACATCACTTTCTAAGAACATCCCTGAAGATTCTAAACCTGGAACGGTAATTTCTCTCATCAGTGTGATTGATAAAGACGCAGGGATCAATGGTAAAGTCATTTGTCAGTTAAACAAAAATATTCCCTTTGAGCTAAAGCCTTCTTTCAAAGACAATATGTACTCTTTAGTGACAAAAGATCGTTTAGATAGAGAGACGAATTCACAGTATGACATTACAATAACTGCCTCTGATTTAGGGCAGCCGTCTTTGACTGCATCGACCACTCTAAGCGTTCAGATTTCTGATGTGAATGACAATGCTCCGGATTTTTTAATAAATCCTTTAGATCTCTACTTAATGGAAAACAATGCAGCCGGTTCCTCCATAATTTCAGTAAGCGCCTCTGATAGAGACACAGCCGAAAATGCCGTCATATCGTATCACATAATTAGAGGTGATGGAACTCATAATGTTTTGTCATCTTTCTTAAATATAAATTCCGAGACAGGTATTGTTTATTCGTTAAAGAGCTTTGACTTTGAAACGGCTAAAACGTTCCAGTTCCACGTGCTCGCTACAGACTCTGGAACTCCGTCTCTGAGCAGTAACGTGACAGTGAACGTGTTTATTCTGGATCAGAACGACAACGTTCCAGTGATCTTATATCCAGTCAGCGCTAACGGTTCTGCTGAGGGTGTGGAAGAGATTCCCCGTAATGTGAACGCAGGTCATTTGGTGACTAAAGTCAGAGCCTATGACGCAGATATAGGATACAACGGCTGGTTATTATTTTCACTGCAGGAAGTTAGTGACCACAGTCTCTTTGGTTTGGACCGCTATACAGGACAGATAAGGACCCTTCGCTCATTCACAGAAACAGACGAGGCCCAGCATAAACTGCTCATACTGGTCAAAGACAATGTGAACGTTTCACTCTCAGCAACAGCGACTGTGATTGTCAAAGTTGTGGAACCCAAAGAGGCTTTTGCAGCTTCTGATGTGAAAAACACCGTAAAAGACGAGGAGGAAAACCATGTGACATTTTATTTGATCATCACTTTGGGCTCAGTTTCAGTGCTTTTTGTCATCAGCATCAT